GGCCCCAGGGCCACAGTTTGGAGACCGCTGGTCTAGGGGGGGAACACTTCCAGGCTTTTGGAATGATCTTCGTATTGTGATGCTTTGAAATATAAAAAAGCAGAGCACTATCAACTTAAAAACTCTTTATTTGTATATTCTTGTCTCAAACAGCATCCTGTTTGTTTTATTTCTGCCAATATTTTTTGTGTTGTTTGTTTAGTATAGGACATTAGATTTTGTTCCAACTTTGAAATATCTGTACAAAATATATGTGTTGATCCTGAAAAAAAAATCCAGTAGCCTTGTGAATCCCTATACACTCTGCTTCTACTGCACTGAAATCCCAAATTAGCAGCCCTGTCCAATTCATCTCGGTGGATTACAGAACACCTTCTCTATATGTTATGGAGATGAGGAGAGACCGAGCTGTTCTGTAGTCATCAAGTAAGTACAAAGCAAAGAGTAGGGAGGGGGACTTTATATTATAAACAAGCCAAAATGTCAGATCAACATTTCTTTATTATTACTAGATTAAAACATAAACTAAAAAGCCCATACACAGGGTGTAAATTGTTAAACATCATATATTTCTCACAATGACATTGTTGTGTATATACGTGGCAAAACATGTACTAACATATTCATCCCATGCATACTGCATATATTGCCCACATATCTGAAGCATTTCAAGACTTTCTCCTAGTCAGGGGCAATACGTAGGACCTTCATATTAAAAATTAAAAAATATAGTAAAGTATATGTACAGAAGGAAAGACTTTGTTTATGTTGGTGCCACACTACACTCAATATAGTTATGATTGCAAAACCACTTACACAGATGATGAAAAGGATGGTGAAATACAGCCTGCGAACATTTATTAAAAACACACCACTCTGTGTTCCTGTCATGGCCAAAGGGGAGTAGGGGACTGCCTGCACATGCAGAGATCCTCAAGGCACTGAAATAACATAAAAACAAAACAATAGAAGGAAAAAGAAGATGGAAATAGATGGAAAAAGAAACAAATCAACCTTAGGTAGCACCAAACAAAAATGTAAAATAATGTATGAAAAAAAAAAAACTAAACTAACCTTCACATTACAGCCAGGGGAACTATCAAGTGGCATGGCCACCAAACACATGGAAGAGGACAGCAGTGACAGCCATGCCCCAGGAGAGACTTATATATGTCTCAACAAGCAGAGGAGGTGCCGGCAGAAACCATAGAGTTGTAGACTGACCACAGTGAACACACACACCTGACCACATTGCACACTGAATTCAATCTTTAAAGAGAGAGTACTCTCCTACATGACCTATTCATGTCTGGCCTTTCCAATGGTTACCAGAGTACTCTAGTTCCAGTGTTTCCTTTGTTTTTAGGCCTTGGAGTCCTCCAGCTGTTTGTTTGGGTTACCAAAGCAATCCTGGACTTCCCTGTGTGAAATGATCTCTGTGACGAAGGGCAAGTGCCTATTTCTGATTCTTACTGTTTTACTGAACTACTGGTTCTCATATTGATTCTCTGTTGCTATAGAGTGTTATAGAGACTATGCTAAGCAGCCACATGTTACCCTGATTGAGTTACAGAGACATTGCTGTGAAGAGTCTATGTTTATGCAGTTTTCATAATCTGTTTTGCATTATTCTTTTTGGCATTCTGAGCCTCTTTTGCATCATTGATTCTAATTTTGCACGTTTAGCAAACTGCAAGTTACAGTCACTTGGATGATGCATCTTGTTGCACTTACAGTCAGGGCCGTAAGTACAGATCATAGAACCCAAGAGCAAAATTTTGTTAGAGCTCCCCCCCAGCAACCTACCATCATTGATCTTTGGTCATTGATCTTTGGTTATTGAAAAATTATCTACAGAATATCAGGGACAGGTAGCAGGAGAGCTGTTAGTACCCTATTAGAGCCCAAATGTTATTAGTAATATGGGAGAATTATTGCAAGAAATTGGTGTTTAACAATATTCACCAGTGTATTGCTACCCCAGAGGAGCCACTTGGATACTCTGTTCTTTGTCTTGATCCTGTAAACAACCTTGACCCCTCTGACACACACCAGCTTAAGAAAATAGAAATTGCAATAGTGTTGAAATTTGAACACTCTGCACACAACTATAATCCGTATGGGGTAGTAGACACCAGACTCGTTAGTGGAAACAGAACTTAACCACTTCAAGTCCGGACACTTTTACCCCCTTCCTGTCCAGGCCAATTTTCAGCTTTCAGTGCTATCACACTTTGAATGACAATTGTGCGGTCATGCAACACTGTACCCATTTGAATTCTTTTGCATTTTTTGAGACAGATAAAACTTTATATTGGTGGGTCTTTTTCACCACTGGGATTTTAATTTTTTTTGCTATATAAATGAAAAAGTCCAAAAATGTAGAAAAAAAGTGTTTTTTTCATATAACATTTTGCAAGTAAATAATCTTTCTTTATAAATCTTGGCCAAAATGTATTCGGTTATCTTTTTAGTAGTAAAAAAAAAAATAACCTAAATTAGGTTTATATCTAAAAATTATAATTTTTTAAAACATTTTGTACATTTTTTTTATATTATTATTTATGGGTTTTTTTTAACATACTGTCACCTAGCAGTATAGTAGTACAGTAGCACCATAGTGACACTGTACTACTTGTGGGGGGTGATGAAGATTTTTTTTTTATACTGCTTTTACACCCCATAAAGGTTGTAAAAGCAATCATTTCTCCTTCTCTCTCTGGCTGTATTCTTGCAGCCATTGAGAAATACTGTGAGAGCTGTGATCTTTCACAGCTTGTCACATGGTACAAGGCTGTTGTGAATGGCCCTGTACCATGTGATCTGTGATCATTCACAGATTTCACAAGTAGTAAGCAATAATGTCAGGAAGTGACATATTGTTTACTGCTATTCATGTGATCACTGATTGGCCAATCAGTGATCACATGATCGGGACCTCACACAGAGGTCCCGTACAGCGATCGGTGTTCCGCTGTCAGGGCTCCCAGGTGTGACCAGAGGTGTGTGGCTGACGCAGGGAAACGCAGACCTCAGATATGTTATAAAGAATATAATTTATTAACACTAACAATACAAACATAAACGCAGTGCAATACTAAACATAATACAGTGCAACCAAACCAAACCAACCACCCACAGATAACAGTACATACAAGCAAGCGTCGTCAGGCAGGCCGGGTCAATATCAATAGGGCAGGTAGGTACAGGGGGAGCAAGCGGAGATTGGTCGGGGTCACAGGCCAGGTTCAGCAGGTAGCAAGCAGCATAGTACAGAGGGTCAGGCAGAGGGATGGTCAGGGTCACAAGCCAGGGATCAGAACAGGTAGCAAGCAGCGTGGTACAGAGGGTCAGGCAGAGGGATGGTCAGGAGCGAGCCGGGATCAGAGCAGGAGAAGTCAGCAGTGGTTCAGAAACAGGATGCAGGACAGAAACAGGATACAGGGCCCAGGACAAACACAACACCAAGGCAGAGTCTGTGGGTCTGGCCATCCCTTAAATACCCCAGCATAATCAGTTCCAGGTGTTAGCTGGCTGCAAAGTTGAGTCTCTGATTGCTGGGAGCACCCGCTGGCCAGCCCTGGTACTGCAGATCAAAAGGCAGGTGAGTCCCACCTTATTGCTGGCCAGTCCATTCCTGACAGTACCCCCCCCTCAAGGAGCGGCCTCAGGACGCTCCAAACAGTCCTAGCTGGGAAAAATGTTCCACCGCCCGGGTCTGGTAACTGGCGGGATATCAAAGACTGGCACACCGGGCAGGACTCCGGCAGTGGTACACCGGGCAGAGGCACATCGGGCTGGACTCCGGGGGGCAAGGGCACAGGCTGGACTCCGGGCAGAGGCACATCGGGCTGGACTCGGGCAGAGGCACACCGGGCTGGAGGCACATCGGGCAGAGGCACACCGGGCAGAGGCACATCGGGCTGGACTCCGGGCAGAGGCACATCGGGCTTGGACTCGGGCAGAGGCACATCGGGCTGGACTCCGGGCAGAGGCACATCGGGCAGAGGGACATCGGGGCTGGACTCCGGGCAGAGGCACATCGGGCAGGACTCCGGCAGAGGCACATCGGGCAGGACTCCGGGCAGAGGCACATCGGGCTACCAGGCGAAGCAGCAGGCACCAGGCCCCCGGGGGGGCGGGCAGGCACCGGGCCCCCGGGCGGGGGGCGGCAGGCACGGGCCCCCGGCGGGGGGCGGCAGGCACCGGGCCCCCGGGCGGAGCGGCGGGCGCCGGACCCCCAGGCGGAGCTACAGGTCTCGGGCCCTCAGGCGGAGCGGCGGGCGCCGGACCCCCAGGCGGAGCTACAGGTCTCGGGCCCTCAGGCGGAGTGCGGGCGCCGGACCCCCAGATGGAGCAACAGGTCTCGGGCGGGCCCCCAGGCGGGCCCTCAGCGGCGGCGGGGCGCCGGACCCCCAGATGGAGCGACAGGTCTCGGGCCCTCAGGCGGAGCGGCGGGCGCCGGACCCCCAGGCGGGGCGACAGGCATCGGGCCCCCAGGCGGGGCGGCGGGCGCCGGACCCCCAGGCGGAGCTACAGGTCTCGGGCCCTCAGGCGGAGCGGCGGGCGCCGGACCCCCAGATGGAGCGACAGGTCTCGGGCCCTCAGGCGGAGCGGCGGGCGCCGGACCCCCAGATGGAGCGACAGGTCTCGGGCCCTCAGGCGGAGCGGCGGGCGCCGGACCCCCAGATAGAGCGACAGGTCTCGGGCCCTCAGGCGGAGCGGCGGCGCCGGACCCCCAGGCGGGGCGACAGGCATCGGGCCCCCAGGCGGGGGCGACAGGCATCGGGCCCCCAGGCGGGCGACAGGCGGGGGACCCCCAGGCGGGGACGACGACAGGCATCGGGCCCCCAGGCGGAGCGGCGGGCGCCGGACCCCAGGCGGAGCTACAGGTCTCGGGCCCTCAGGCGGAGCGGCGGGCGCCGGACCCCAGATGGAGCGACAAGTCTCGGGCCCTCAGGCGGAGCAACAGGTCCGAGCGGGCGTCCGGCGAGTACCCCCAGACAGTGGAGCGACAGGTCTGGCCCTCAAGGCGGGCGGGCACAGGTCTCAGCCCCCAACGAAGGCGGAACAGCGGGCACCGAGTCACCAGGCACGACAGTGGGCACCGAGTCGTCTGGCAAGACTGCGGGCACCGAGTCAACTGGCGGAACAGCGGGCATCGAGTCAACTGGCGGAACTGCGGGCACCGAGTCGTCTGGCAAGACTGCGGGCACCGAGTCGTCTGGCAAGACTGCGGGCACCGAGTCGTCTGGCAAGACTGCGGGCACCGAGTCCCTGGCGGAACAGCAGGCTTCGAGTCGTCTGGCAAGACTGCGGGCACCGAGTCGTCTGGCAAGACTGCGGGCACCGAGTCGTCTGCGGAACAGCGGGCAAACTGGCAAGACTGCAGGCACCGAGTCGTCTGGCAAGACTGCGGGCACCGAGTCGACTGGCGGAACAGCGGCACCGAGTCGTCTGGCAAGACAGTGGGCTCCGAGTCAACAGGCACGACAGTGGGCACCGGGTCATCAGGTATCGGATTGTCTGGCTCGACAGCGGGCATCGGGTCACCAGGTATGACAGCGGGCACTGGGTCACCAGGCATCAGGTCATTTGGCTTGCCAGCGGGCACCGCGTCACATCTGGCAAGGCAGTGGGCACCGGGTCACCAGGTATGACAGCGGGCTCTGAGTCAATTGGCACGACAGTGGGCACTGGATCAGGTACCGGATCATCTGGATCAACAGTGGGCATCGAGTCAACTGGCCTAATAGGATCGTCGGGCTGGATCAGTTCATCATGCTGAGTAGCGGCATCAGGCTGAATGCAGGCATCAGGCTGAGTAGAGGCTGGCTGAGTAGAGGCTTCAGGCTGAGTAGAGGCTTCAGGCTGAGTCACGGAAGGCAGGTTCACCGGTTTGGATACTGGCAGGATGGTATTGGTTGGAAAGAATTTTCGCTTTTTTCTGGTTTTAACTACTGGAGCACTGCAAGTAAACGCAGGTCTGCAAACGAATGGAGCAGCTGGAGACAGAGAAAAACTGGAGGATGGAACAGGAGAGGGAGCAGTTGCTACAGAGGGCTTTTTTACAGGGTTAAAGCAGGATAGGTGCAGCGAGTGGGAACAGGGTACTGACATGCGGTAGATAGCCAAGTATACTGGGCTGTAACTGAGGAGCTGGTGGGAATACAGGAGTAGAGTTAGAAGCAGGACTGGGTTTTTGTAAGCTGACTGAGGCTGGGTGCAACAAGTCTGTCCATGTCTGCAGTATGGGTTGAACAAAGCTGAGCTTACACAAAGCCTGTCTGGTCAATGACTGCACTGCGTTTATACAATCTCTTAGTGTCTGTAGTGAACATGTGGAATAACGCTCCAGAAAGTAACCCACATCATCCTCTAATAACCACACCAGGGACTCTACCTGGTCTGCACTAAATGGTGGCACAGCTTGAAAATGCGGGTGCCATTTATGAACAGCAACCTGCTCCTGCACTGCTCCTGTCCAGACGTTTATGTACATGGGCAATATATTTGTTACAGGTTAAGGTAAATGGCAGTAGGTTCATAAATGGGCAATGGGCATAAATGGGCAAATAGAGAATTCAGTCTATCACAATTCACTAGATCACATGACCATTAGATTGTAGCAGTTTGATGAGGATTTCTATATAGCTAAATTGATCTATACCTGGTAACCTACAAATCAGCAGAGAACAATGGCATAGATAACATTAGCTGCAATGATAAATAGTGCTGTAATGACTATCCTGAAACAAGTGTATTATACTGCTAGAGTGCACTCTAGGGTTGACTATGTTAAACCTCAGGTCTGGCTGCAGAGGTACCCCCTTCTTTAGGCAGCAAATTAAGTCCTTGTGCAGCAACTATCTAGAGAGACATTCCTTTGCCTAATTTTTCTTTCCCATTTGTTTTTATTGAAAGAGAGCAAAAAGTATTACACATACAAAATATGGTGGATTGCTTACAAAAATGCCTATGCAAAGTCTCAACCCTCGACCGAATGGGGAATAGCATGTACATAAACATAATGGTTTATCTCCAAAATACAGTGCAAATGATACATTATTCAACAAGTGGTGGAGAGTAATCCCTGAGACAGTTAGAACTCAGTTTGTACTAACAAACTGGACCTTTGCCCTATTTCTTCCGGCGGTTAGCATTGGGGTCCAGTCTTTATGGTGGTGCACATAAGTACAGTCCTAGTAAAGTCTGTATGCAGTGGTAAAGGCTACTAGTCAAATGTCCAGTGCCTATATCCTCAGTCTATACTAGCAGCAACAGGTCTATGGCAGCAGTGCCCTCTCACCAATCACAAACAATACAACTGCAAAAATTCTGCTGATCATATGTCCCCTGGATCAGCCTGGAGTGGCCCCAGTTCTGACTGCATAGGCCAACACTAGTGTCACTGCAGCAAGACACTGTGTTCCAAGAGCAGCTTAGCCCTACCCTCTCCAATCCCTAGTACACAGGATTCCAATCTCTGGCTCAGACACTCCAGTCCCCATGCTGTAAGAGGAAGCTGCTCAGTCTGCAGCTCTGGAAGTACAAATCTTTTCCCCTCCTTACTACACTATCCTTCTGGGAACTGTAGTCCAAAGGTCTGTAGGCTTCCATCACATGGCTCCCCTGCTGGACTTCAATTCCCAAGTCCACTGTGGCCAGCATACAAGTCTCTGTCTTGTCAGATCAACCTTTTGGGTGGAGGTGATGTGATATTAATCTGTTCAGCATGACATTCTGTGAAGAGCACAAAAAGAGCAACTGTAGCACTAATGTACTGTTTCCTAATTTTGGTCGCACTTTTATAGCCAAGCACCTGGCTACACCAGTCTTTTTCAAAATCTCAGACCTCAGGTTTCAATGTAAATTCCAAAACCTTCCACTGCAACAGCAAGAAAGTGCTGAAAGCACCCCTGTCCCCTGTTTGTCTCAATACTCTAAGGCCCCTTTCACACAGGCATTCCGTTTTTTTCATCAGTTCAGTCACGTTTTTTCCAAGAAAAAACGGATCAGTTTGCATCCGGTTTTCATCAGTTTGTATCCATTTTTTCATTTTTACATTAGTTTTTCATCAGTTTACATCAGTTTTTCATCCGTTTTGCATCCGTGTTTCATCAGTATTTCATCCATTTACATCTGTTTGTCCGTTCCGGGTTTTTTAACGGAAGAAAAATAGGGTTTTCTTCCGTTCAAAAAAATGGATGTTAATAGATATGGACCAGGTGCGGACTGACCATTTGGAAAATCGGGCACTGGCCGAGGGCCCGGTGTCAGTAGGGGGCCCCATGAGATGCACTTGGTACCTTTTTCATAGGCTTTTTTGAGTTTGGGCAAGGACACAGAGGCCCCATGATCTCCTATTGCCTGGGGGCCCCATGAGTTGTCAGGTCACCCCTGATACGGACATTAACGGATGTAAACAGATGATCATTCGTTTACATCCGCTAGTCCATAGAAATAAATGGGTGTCCGTTTTTCATCTGTAAGCAGACAGATGAAAAACAGACATACGGAACACCCGTGTGAAAGGGGCCTAAGGCCCCTTTCAAACAGATGTTCCAATCAAGTCCACCTGTCCATGTTTCAGGCAGATCTGATTGGAAGGTCCATTGGAAAAGGAAAACTAATGCAGCCACCACAACTAAGAATTGGTAAGCTGCAATATAATAAATGTTTGCTTTTGGGTTTAATACCGCTTTAATTTCAGTGCTGGCCAGGATGACCAGATGGTCTAAGGCAGTGGTTCTCAACCTTCCTAATGCCGTGACCCTTTAATACAGTTCCTCATGTTGTGGTGACCCCAACCATAAAATTATTTACCCAGTAATTATAATTCATGAGTGTCGTTTTACCTCCAATACTGCTGCTTTCAACACAGTAGCTGCTTTTAACAGAGTAGCTGTTTTCAACACAGCAGCTGCTTTCTACACAGTAGCTGCTCTTTACACATCGGAAATATGTGTTTTCTGATGGTCTTAGGGGACCCCTGTGAAAGGGTCGTTCGACCCCCAAAGGGGTCGCGACCCACAGGTTGAGAACCACTGGTCTAAGGACAGTAAATACACTATATAAAAGACAGCTAATTCTGTGGCAAGCAACAATGATTTTAAAGTCTCCTCCTTTGCATCTAAAGTCACCTCTGCTTGATCACGACAGTCACAGGGGTACAGGGTCATTGTCAACAGTAACCTCTGCAGATTTTCTATGTTTAAATTGCCCTAGCAGCCCTCCTAATGGGGCCCTTTCCACCCCTAGGCTTCGTAGCAGGTGCATGGCCTACTATGGCTTTTGTTACACCACTGTGTACAGTCATTACACTAAAAAGGTTGAGGATCCTTACACCTTAACTGTACAAATCCATACTAGATGAAACAACTGCCTGCAAGATAAGCTTCATTTGCTAAAAATATACACCTTACCTCACCAATCCTAATGTGCTATCTTTTGTTCTACAAAACTGAATTTTTTACCATAATTAAATTAGCCTAAAAGCATCAACACTTCATATATGAAGAGCACATTCATAAAGAAAGATGAATGTCATTGCTCACAGAAGAGATGGATTTCTTTTCAGATATCTGCAGTGACGTAGACTGCAACCAAAGATCTAGTCTATTTGTGTCTATATATTCATTGCATGCATCCTGCTTCTATTTACACACTGCCTCAATCACGACCTTGTGTAAAATGGTAAGAAACATATCCCTGTGTGCTCGTACCACTGATTGCTGCCTAATCCCAGAATCTATAAAAGCACAGCATGACCTCACAGCTACCTACTCAGTAACCTCTGCCTGCTGGATCTGTGCACTAAGCATGTACATATAGTGCTTTGCTGCTTTTGCTTCACACCTTCAGATGAAAAGGAATAAAAATAGGAAGTGCAGGTCATAAGAAGGACCCCACTTGAACACAAGACATATCCTATTGTGGGAATTACGCAATATGAATGAATCATCTGTACAATATGTTATTAATGTTGAAGAATTTGAGGTGTAATTTTGTGTAACCTTAAGTGATAGAACTTGCTGGTGGAAAAAATATGAATGGATTGATTCAGAGATAGATAGATAGATAGATAGATAGATAGATAGATAGATAGATAGATAGATAGATAGATAGATAGTGTTGTGTTCAAAATAATAGCAGTCAGACATCACTAACCTGATCAATCACTGTTTTTGGTAGAAATGATATTTCTACATGGCAAATAATTTACTAGCAGGTGTAGTAGAGTAATAGAAATCTAACAGACCCAACAGTCATGACATGCATGTTGCTGATTCTGTGTAATTGAATCACTAATTGAAAGGGGCATGTTCAAAATAATAGCAGTGTGGAGTTCTATTAGTGAGGTCATTAATTCTTTGAAAAACAGGTGGCAATTATTGCCCTTATTTAAGGAAGGAAGGCAGCTAATGTTGTACATGCTGGTTACAGTGCATTTCTCTCTAAAATTCTGAGGAAAATGGGTCGTTCCAGACATTGTTCAGAAGAACAGCGTACCTTGATTAAAAAGTTGATTGAGGGAGAGGGGAAAACATATAAAGAAGTGCAGAAAATGATAGGCTGCTCAGCTAAAATGATCGCAAATGCTTTAAAATGGCAACCAAAATCTGAAAGACGTGGAAGAAAGCGAAATGGATAGAAT